TCATGAGCTTGTTTTTGTTTTGTTTATGACTTGATTCATCAGCAACAAAATGCCAGGAGAGCCTCATTTCACATTGGATTTGCAAAAACAGGCAGAGCCTTCTATCCGTACTCTGCGATCATTTTGTCCAAATCTGAAATCCTCTGAAAGCTTCTGAAAGACACTAGCGCAAAGTGGAGCAGTACCACAGGGAATCAGGAGGGGGCAGTTTAGCCAATAGTTCAAGCGAGACGACCACATTACATCGTTTGAAACAGACGCATCTCCTTTTATGTGTAAATAAGCCTTTAGGACCCGGGAAAAAAATGGAAAATCAGATCGCTATTGTGACTGACTGGTGCTAGCATGTCCCTCAGCTGGCTAAGGCTACAAATACGCTAATATGTTGTAGTTTGAGAACTAAAACAATCCCTGTCCAGATGAGAGATATGCAGACGTGTCCCAGTGTCTGTTGTGTCTGAATGTTAACAGTAAACTGTCTGACCTGCAGCTTAGCTCTGTTTCATGTCATCACATCATCCAAATATGATGAGTGCTTACCTTCACCTTTCTCTATGGCAACTGTGCTCTCAGTGATGCCCCCAGCACCAGCCTGTGGACGTTACCCAGACTACCAACAATATATATATGTATTAAAAAGTACTCTGGACTCATTCCCAGGCTATGAGGCAGTATTTATGGCAGGAAGGTACTTTCAGCTTCCTCCAGGCTATGATCATGAATTCTCTCATGTTCTCATTAAGTCAAACAATATTTGTATTAGCTGTGTAATTTGAAAAGTTTGAACGTTGTAGACTTAACAGAAGTGTTTGGACGCACCCATGTCCCTGGGTTACGGATGAAATATGAATAACTTTGAATATGACCCCACAGGTTCATCCTGTGCTGCTTTGACTATTCAAAACACACAGTGAGATTTGAATGAGGAGGAAGTGTGTTTTCTTTGAGTCTGCGACAGACTGATGTAAAAATCTGCTTCAGGTTTGGGTTAAAGTTGTCATGATATCATGTAGAAGCAATTTTCCACAACAAGCAGAGTCGTGCTTTTTTATATTATGCTCATTATATGTTTTTTGTGCCCATTGAAAACTTTTATTATGTGTTTTTGCTCGTTCACATTGGTTTCTGTGGAGAGGTGATTGATACCTTTGTGTTAGGAGCTACTAGCCTACGAGAAACATTTTGGATATTAATTCACCTTCTCACCAAGACGTTGTCGCTGACGTTCAGTAGCTGAAGTGGCCAGCGACCATCACTATCACCTGCAACTGCAAGAAACCCCATTCACTAACAGAGAAAACTTCAGTATGAGTTCAACCTCAACTCTACTTTTAACACTCATTCTCTATTATTGATATTTTGTAAGTAGTAATAATAATATAAGTAGTAATAATAATAGCGTGTTGTCAGAAGGATTATCAGTGAAGTGTTTACACTCAGCTGAGCAGGAAGGGAGTAGCACAACGACCAAATAAAGAGCTCGCTGATGAGTGGAAGTAAACAGGCAATAAGGCACGTGGGTGTGTGCTGGCAGCGTCAGGATCGGTAGATGAGCATGTGAGAGCTCGACAAGAAGAAGAGATCCAGTGCAATGACCCTGCCTCTGTGTGAGTGTGTTGAAAGTTGAACCACTGAAACATGGATAAGCAGCTATTGACCTCTAGCTTTATTACTTATTAACCCAGGCAGTCTCAGCAAACAGCTCAGGGCAAACATGGCATCACCTAAAAAATAGCAAACTCCCTTTTTTTTTAAACCAACAGGAAACAAAGCTTTCATCTGCCTACACAGTAGAAACATTTGAAAGCTAGAACATATAAAAACAACACAGATAATTAAAAGATTACCTTGGAAATAAAAAAGCAGGAATCCAAACAAAGTTACAAAGAGTAAAAAAATCATCTTTATGACCATAAGGACTCATTCCTTTATTGTAAGATATACAACATGAGAAATGATAGATCTGTGACAACACGATACCACGTTCTCTTCTACTGCTCGACTCCCCCTGTCTCTCATCCCTCACCCTCTTTATCTCTTTACCTTTTTGTCCAATTTGTTTTTCTCTCCTCTGCGTCCTTTGCGGCATCTCTGTGTCCTCTTTCTTTCTCTGCTATATTCTTCTGTTTTTGTTCTCTCTCTCCCTCCCTCCCTCCCTCCCTCCCTCCCTCCCTCTCTCTCTCTCTCTCGTCAACACATAAACACAGGACAAATGACACAAGCTCATTCATGAAAATGTAGCGGCACTCAGTTGGGGTTTAACCACTGGATTATAGGATTAGAGAGTGGGACAGAATTAGAGTGTGTATACACATGCTTCACAAACACATGCACACTCGCACGCACTCGTCCCACACGCTCATCTGCATGTGTGTTGTTATTTTATGATGTTTTGCTGTTTCCATCATTTTTCCTTGATGACTGCTACTGCTTCCGTGCTACAATTACATCGCATACTGCTGTGTTAAAGGAGTGTAGGTCAACATTTTTGGAAACTGCACCCGTGTGCTTTCTTTCTGAGGGATTAAATACTCATGTCTGAATATGAAGCTAGAGCCATGAGAACATTACCCTAATTTACACAAGTTGACACTTGAGATGCAGTACGCTATTAGCCTTTTTATAAAGTGACTTTATACCAAAGCCATTTGGAGCAAATGCTTTTAGTCTCTTGCTCAAGGACACTTCAGCAGGTAGCCATGACCACCGATCCTGTGATAGACCCTGCTGTCGTTGACCTCACGTCTGTGTGTCTGTGGACTCGTCTAGTTGCAGTTTTGCTGTTTTGCTTTTTCTTTTAATTGCATGTTTTCATGTATTGTACAAATTTGTCCGACTTGATCCTGGTGCCTTTTGAGTCCATATCTGCAATAGTGATATTTCCTTTTAATTTCATGCCAATAATAAAAATGGAGAGAGAGGATGATGAGGGTGAGGGAGGTCAATAAAAGAAAGAGTCGGGGATAAGAGAGAGGAAAATGGAACGAGGAGGGAGAGATATTTACCCGTCTTTCTTTCTCTCTCTCTCCCTCTTTCGCGCTCAACCGCTGTGTTGACGGATGACGACATGCGGCGAGGGATGTGAGGGGATGAATGGATGGACAGGGGAGAGCTGGTGGGGGGGACGGAGGTAGGGAAGGGATGACATCAGTGCAGAGTCTCTCCCCAGCCAATCCACTTGCAGACCCCCAACCCCCCCTGCTTGCTGCCTCCGCCTCCCCACACCTCTCCCTTGTTGCTACGGCAGCAGCATCATCCCGTCTGTACTAGGCATTGTTTGGGGTCGGTAGTAATGCAGAGTGTTGTGTGTGTGTGTGTGTGTGTGTCTGTTGTCGAAGGCTGTGATCCAGCACGAGAAATCATCTCTTCTTTCTTTTTCTCACTCAATCATCAGACCCCACCCCTGTAACCACCCTCATCACTCCATCCTCTTCCTTTCCTGTTTTATTCTGCCTCTCGCTCTCTCTGTTTTCGTGTGTATATATATTTCAATAAATGGATGGGTGGATGGATGGATAGATAGATAACAGAGCATCATGTATTTCTCTATGTCTTGTGTCCCTTTGAAAATTAAGTAATATAGAGAACATGTTGCAACATGTATATATAAATATTCTATGAAAAAATACCACTTTTTTTTATTGTTGCCTTAGAACCATGAAATTTCGTCCACATTTCCTCTCTATAGGTTTGTTAATTTGCTTACACTTGCATCCAGACTAAACAGTTCCATTTTTTAGCGTATGCCAGACAGAAAACATGACATAAATACTCAAGTGCCCATGAGTTCAGGCTGGTGGAAAACAAGCAGCTTCTCATCCTGATCATGTCATTTCAACATGGCTGTCAGATCGCACTTGTTCTACATGAGTTACATCTTGGAGGACTCATTAAAAATAAATCAAGCGCACAGCATCTGAGTTGAGCAGCAAACAAAAGCCTCACAATCACAGATCCGTGTGCACATGCATTGTTTCCCCCTGTGCTCATGTGCACAAGTTTTCCCACTCAAACCCATTCATAATAAATGCAATATTAACACTGATGTGTTTTTATAGCCTGTTTATCTGCAGGTCTCTCTCAGCTCCGCCTGTTTTGCAGCCAGTCTGTTTGTGTTTTACTTCTCTCATCTGCTATCTATCCTCTCGTAACCATGGAAACGAGATCAACATGCAAATACCTGAGCACGCTCGCTAAGGCTGCGTGCGATAGAGGATGCAAATTACATTTCTGCTTGTAGGTTTGCACGCCCACTTGCACACTCAGACGTATACGTACGCAGATTTATGGATGTGTGCGTCCAGGACATATCTTTCCGACTAGAATCATCCGTCATCTCTAAGTTGTTTCATATGGTGATATTTAAAGAAACTATGCATTTTTCCCATCAAGGATTAAAGCAATTATAACTTTTGGTCTTTTTTTTAAAACGACAAGTAAAATGCATCGTATTGAAGATGTGATACGACCTTAAAGTTGCATTGGTTGATTTTTGGCCACTAGAGGGCGAAGAGACTATTCACTACTATTCACTTCTATAGCTAAACATGTGCATACTTTTTTGAATCACATTTTTCAAATCCACTTCCAGCAAAATGACAAATTTCGATGTTCTTTCAGCTCTTTTTGTCTCCAGCTACTCGGAAACATAAATGTGGTAAAAAGAAACTTTTCGTTTTCTTTCCTCAAAAAGCTAGTTTTTCATTTAGTCACAGGAAGTGAACATGTGTGAAGGTTTATTTTATTCATTTTTATTTTTGTAAATATGCCTCATGTGTTTGCTGCCAACATTGCTGTTTTTCCTGCTTGTATATCTCTATTTTCTTATTCTTACATCTATATATTAAATATATCGTATATATAAATATAATTTCTACCATTGATTTACGGTGTCTTCGCTTCACGGGGTCTCATCTTCATCACCTCCCGTTTTCATTGATGTCTGTTTTTTTATGAATGAACATCAGGGGAGGAAACGGGACGGGAAACTGGACGCCTCGTGATTGGCTGCCATCAGCTGACGTCACCTCCGCTGTGACGCGATGCAGCCATTCATTTAAAAAAAAAAAAGAAAAATAAAGAGAAGCAGTCCCGAGCAGCGACACTCACGAGAGAGAGAGAGAGAGAGAGCAGAGGTGTGCGGGACTGTGCGTGATGAGCGGTGCAGTTTCAGCGATGCGCGGATAAAGAGGATTTACCGCGGGATCCGTGCGCCTTCTGCGGGGTTTAGGAAGGACGGCGGTGGCGCAGATACACACTCACACACACACAGAGACACAGAGAGCTCCCAGACACACGGCCGCTTCCTGACAACATGGAGGATCTGTGTGAGATGGACTGCACGGTGCTCAAGCGGCTCCTGAAGGACGACAGCGCCAAGTGCCTGCTGCTGGACTGCCGCTCCTTCCTCGCCTTCAGCGCGGGACACATCCGCGGCGCCGTCAACGCGCGCTGCAACACCATCGTGCGCCGCCGGGCGAAGGGCTCCGCGCTCAGCCTGGACCAGATCCTGGCCGGGGACGAGGAGGTGCGCGGCCGCCTGCGCTCCGGGATGTACTCCGCCGTGGTGCTGTACGACGAGAGGACGCCGGACGCGGACACGGTGAAGGAGGACAGCACCGTGACGCTGGTGCTCACCGCGCTGTGCGGGGACTCCTCCGCCACAGACACGTACCTGCTGAAAGGTACATTTATTCACCTGCATCACGTATACAGAACAATACGGTGGTTAAATATCAAGATTCAACCTTTAAATGTCCATTCAACGATTTTGTTCTAATGTTATCATGGTGAAGTGGTTTTATTTTGGATATTTCTCCAAGAAAATGTGTAAAAATCATTATAATGAGACAAAAAACAAGTTATAATGATTCACAAATTATTGATTTTATTCATGGGTTTGTTCTTAATACTGCGAAACACCAATCTACGATACAAATCATTTAAATATAGTATACATGGGTTCTTTGTCTCTAATATTGTTTTTGAATAAGCAAAAAAAACATTTATAATGAAAATAATATTCGCAGCAGTACATCTTTATGTCTTTGTTATTGATTTATTATTAATTTGAGGCTTTAAAGAACAATCAGGGACAATAAAAATGATAAAAAATTTTAATACTGTCTCCAAATTGTACCAACAACCTTGTTACTATAAACCACAATATAGTTTTATTGGCTCCATAAATACTGATTATTGTTTTTGTAAAGCAGATATATGTTTCAGATAAGATCCTGCTGACAGTGCCTGCTCTATTTTGATGCATTTTTTTCTTTTACAAATCCCACACTCACTCACTCACTCAGTCACTCACACACACACACACACACAGACCAATGGCTGTGTGCTGAGTGAATGAGGTAATGCTGATGCATGGAAGCCACTTCTAACCAGAGGGACTCACAGGACACACACATGGTCATTCTAGAAAGCGTCCGCCTCCAGTTAATATGATGTGAAGCAGTAAAATCTGAAATAAGTACTGGATGTTTTTTTTTCTCACCACCAGACTATATTTAGACTGCAGGGAATCTGAAAAGCAAAGCTGCTGCGAGCTGTGGCGCATTCGTTTTTTGTGCATCCTAATGACGCAGGCGCCTTGAAGCACAGGAGTACATGTGTGTGTAGCTTAGGAAGATGACATATCCACAGTTAATCTGGTTTAATCCCTGAGGTGCAGGGAGCAAGTGGTCAGCCTGCAGATGTATATGTGTTTAAAAAAAAAAAAAAAAAGCAAAGGGATGATGAAATTGTTTTCACAGGACAAAGCAGGTCAGAGGTTGGTTTAATGGACTTTAAGTCGGACGCAGAGGAGAATACTTTGGTGCAGATGTGGGAACATTAATGTGGGTCAAAGGCTCTTTTGTCCTTGAGTGTGTTTTAGTCTTGTTTTATATTTTATACACCACAAATATGAACTATGTCTCTCTATAATGTCCCCGGAGCGTCTGTCTGTGGTCTTTAGTCGTCTATTTAATCTCTTATGCTTTACAACATGTTTTCTAATGCTGCATCACACCACAGCCCTGATTCATCTTATCCTAAATATCATTGTCTCTTTTTTCCAGGCGGATACGACCGGTTTTTCACAGAATACCCTGAGTTTTGTTTAAAGACCAAACCCTTACCGTCCCTCAGCAGCCAGTCCAGCGTCGACTCCTCCTGCTCGTCCTGTGGGACGCCTCATCACGACCAGGTAAGAGGACACAATGTGCAGAAACACCTGAACTCACACTTTACACATGTTTACAGTTCTAGTGTCAAACTAATGTAGGTCAGCTTTGGAGAGAATGCAGCCAGTTGTTGAAACAAAGAGCATTCATGAAATAATCACTGTCTTGAATATACTTAATTGTACTAAAATAATCAAGTTTTAATAATATTTAACAGAAACGCAAGAAAAAAAAAGGATTTTTTATTTTATATCTGATAAATAAATGATTAAAAGTCATAAAAACCCTCGTAAGTATTGAATAATTTTAATTTGATCTCATCTAACTAACTGATTCATCGACTATTTGGTCTTTTTATCCTGTAAAACTCGCTTTCAGCTTCTCACACTGACACTTTAGAGAACAAACACTGGAGGCTGTTTGCTTCATGCAACAGAACTCAACCTTTCACTTTGTCTCCTTCATACAACCTCAACACGTCTCATCAGTCTCTCTGCCAAATTATTAAATTCATCATTTTGTCTGACGGCGTTTCACCTCTGCTTCACCTCTCTTGTCACTTCCTGCGACCTCGGTGGCCTCGCTCTGCCGCCGAGTGATCTGCTGCTCCAGCCGGAAGATTTTTACGCAATGCTCAAAGTCACATGCGGTTTGGGGTTTAATTCCCACCGGAATGCACGAGGAGCGAGATGAGGACAAGTCGGCCTTTGTCTGTTGTTCTTTGAAGAAAAACAAGTCTTGTTGGTCTCGGCCAGAATGTCAGGTGGAGTTTTAATTCAAGGAATTAGTTCCTGCTGGAGTATTGACACGATGGAGTGGGTTAGTAGTTGAGTTTCCCTTGTATCCACCCCCCCCTCTTCACATTACATCTTTTAGCAGTATCGATCATTTCCTGCCGCTGTGTCAGTAGCGAGGTCGTCAGCGGCAGTGACATAAACAGAAACAGCCCTCGTCAATAGGCCTCACTACCGGTATAGACCGCCAACAGCCTGACCTCTCCGAGCCAGTGAGAGGAAAAACAATACTCAGAATATGATCAGGGGTCTGGTTCAAAATAAACAAAATGAATGGCACAAAAGTTGCATCGGTTCATGGGATGTGTTTGATCAGATGTTTTATAATGTGTGCAATGAAAATATTTCATTTAATTAATCTAGCATAGCACGTCAGTGGAGACTAGACTGTATAAACATGGACAAAGACTCTGGTTCAAGAAAGGGAAGCCAGTGCACAAAAGCCTGAAACCGACATAAATGATCCTTTTAAAAAGCCGATAAAGCCCAGTATGCACTGGGGCATGGATACAGTGTGATTGACAGCTAGTACTGTGGCAGCGAGCGGCGTCCTCGACCTCGTAATCAGGCTCCACTCTTCCAAATATGGTCACTTGTTTTTTTTAAAAGAACAAAATGGCGGTGGAGGAAAAATGCCAAAAAACTGAAGGCTTTGAAACGGCAGCTCACAAACGTCTCATCTCATCTCTTACCATCAAAGTCTGAATGTGTGGATTGTGAAAGGTGATTACAGTGTTGATGATGAACTGATGGAAATTTAAATATTATTATCAACAATTTCTATTTTTAACCAATAAACTGCAAAACGCAGAAGGTTAAACACATATTCACACTTGTCCAGACGCTTCCTTTTTCTATTATTAGAGTGTGTAACGGTCCGTACCGTCATGTACTTCATGTACTAGGTCATAGTACTAGCCCTGAGTGACTTACTCAGAACATGATGCAATGGGGCATACTTTTTCTCAGAACCATTTTTCTCACTGATGAAAGAGTTGATGGAGTGAAAGCAAATCACAGAGTTAAATAAATAAAGCAAGAACACACAATGCTGATATTCCCGCTGAGCTGTGTGACTGGAACACGTTCACGCCGGTCACTTGATCAGCTACACTGGGTCGTGCTTCCGTAAGTGGAAATAACTCTGCCCGAGACAGATACTAACAAAGTAAATGGTCTGTATCAAATGACTCTGCATTAATTACACAGATAATAAGCCACCCCTGTCTGATGAGGAGTGCGGGTAATGTGATTAACAAAGTATTTAAGCGAGGTCATGCTCGCGCTGGTGTCATCCGGCCTCGGCTGCTGCTCGCTGACACACTGAATTCTTTGTCTTATCGTGTGAGCCGCTTTTTCATTTCCGCTGGCTTTCTTAACGACTGACTCAATTAAGTAATAAAGACATAATTCATTAATTAATCATCACCCTCCCATCTGTCCTCTATCCAGGGCGGCCCGGTCGAGATCCTCCCGTTCCTCTACCTTGGCAGTGCCCTCCACGCCTCAAAGAAGGAGGTCCTGGACACCATAGGAATCTCCGCCCTGCTGAACGTGTCTGCCGACTGTCCCAACCACTTTGAGGGGGTGTACCAGTACAAGTGTATCCCCGTGCAGGACAACCATAAAGAGGACATCAGCTGCTGGTTCCTGGAGGCCATCGAGTTCATAGGTCAGTGAGTTTACTGGGTTTTTTTTTTAGTCACGTGTTTTTTTTTGGTTTTGTGACAATATTTTTTTTTTTAAGCTTTTGCAGCAGTAGAGCAGCACATGTGGGAAATATATATTTTTTATATTTATGTTTGATTGATCCAGGATCGCTAACATTGCGTTTTTCAACCTTTTCCTTGATTTCTCAGAGAATGATTCATTAATCTTGATGAATCAAATCAAACATGTTTAGAGGACTGATGTTAATGAGTTTGAATTTCATTAAAAATCTACTCTTAGTAATGAATTACAATAAAATAAATAAAACATGTATCTTATAAAATATATTACATTTATTTTAATGTAAAAAGAGGAAAAGCAGCAAATTCTGACATTTTGAGAATGATGCATCAAATATTTTTTGCATGAAATGAAAAGTTGCACATTAATTTCGTTTAATGCGACAAATTGACAAATCACAGATTTAAACGTTCAATATATTTAGTTAAATCTAATCACCTGTCAATCAGACAGAGTGGGCTGTACTGTGATGTCATCTCTCTCTTTCCTCTGGATTCTCTGTCGATGGCGTCTGAGTTTCAGCCACAGTGGCTCATGTTCATCTTAACGTTCCTCTTCCTCTACTTAATCTCAAACCGACCAGAAATGTAAAGCGCTTTTCTTCTCCTCTGGAGCCCGACAATTATTCCCGTAAAGGAGCTTTCAGAGAGCCGCGGCGGAAAAGCTCCCAGGCCGATAATGACAAATCAGACAAATATTTTTTTCCAAGAAGCAAAACACATCTCAGCAGATTTTACAGAGAGAACAAGTAATCTACCGGAATCTAATGAAATTAAAAATAAAATATTCCAGTCAATCATTTCTCTGCAGAAGGTTTTCAGAAATGTTTGTGTGTGAAATTTAAGAAAGTGTGAGCTTTGCTTTTGCTTTGTATTTCCATGCTGTGTAGACGTGTGTGTGGTTTCCGTGCTGAGTGTATGTTCATGAGTGTATGTGTGGGTACTGGTATGCGTCATAGTTAGCTGCTGTGGGACCAGAGTCTGACTCATCCGCTGTTACCGGGTGAACAGACGCTGTGGTGGTGGAGTCACCTGAGATTAGTGTGTGTGAGAGAGAGAGAGATGAGTGAGAGGCATCTGAAAAACAGCGAGATACAAAGAGTGAGCGATGGGGGGGGGGGTGTTGTCTGTTGCCCATCAAGCATCTGTGCTTTCAGAGATTTCTCCGGCAGCAAACATTCTTCAGTCTTGTAAAATTCTGCTCGTGTGCAAGAGATGTTCGTGTAGTGAACTGTATTCAAAGCTGTAGTTTAATATTCAACAGAGCGGGAGTCGTGGAAAATTAGATTAAAGCCATTAACATGGAAATAAAAAGCAATAAATGAAGTTTCTCCATTATCTCCTTCATACCCGCGGATTCTAATTTCCTGCAGTGGGCCACACATGCTCCAGGACATCAGCAGCAGTGTCCAACTCATTATCCAAACCGAGGATGTTCAGAACATTTAGTTACTGTAAACGCTTTCATCAAGCTATTAACTAAATCTGGTTACTCACACTAACAAAGTAACAGTGTGTGTGTCTGACAGAGGCAGAGACGTAAATAGGACATAAGGAGGAAGTGAGAAAGACGGGCCTGCTGCAGACTCTTCTTTTGCACATGTCTCAGTTTAATGTGATTTGCTGCGTTCTCACTTTGAGGTTAGTTTAGCGATCTGGCTGCGCAGAGAGAGAGAGAGGAAGGAAGGAAGGAGAGTGAGGAGGACAGGAAATGAGTCGGAGGCAAAGCGTCACTGTACATCTGTTGTGTTTCGAAGAACTGGGGGCTTGAAATTATTATGATTATTTTCATTGTTCATGATGGAAAAGTGATTCTTGTAAAAATCCATTACGAAAACACAATGACAACAAGGAAAGTAGAGTGCACACGTTACCACGGCCCAACAGTCCTCTGATGAAACTTTAAAGATTTGAAATTACTGTCTCCACATTTTTATTTTTGGAGTGAAAAAAGATTTTTATTTTTATGAATTGTAATGTCCATGGAAACATCTGACCTCTGACCTCCTTCTCTCCTCAGATTCAGTACGGGACTCCAGTGGGCGAGTGCTGGTCCACTGTCAGGCGGGCATCTCCCGCTCCGCCACCATCTGCCTGGCCTACCTGATGAAGAGGAAGCGCGTGCGTCTGGACGAAGCCTTCGAGTTCGTGCGCCGCCGCCGCAGCATCATCTCCCCAAACTTCAGCTTCATGGGTCAGCTGCTGCAGTTCGAGTCCCAGCTCCTCGCCACCTCCTGCGCCGCAGAGGCGGCCGCCACGGCGAGCCCGCTCCTCGGACCCAAGTCGTCGACGGCCGCCAACTCAACGGTGGCTACGCCCACCTCGCCGTTCATTTTTAACTTCCCAGTCTCTGTGGTGAACCCCGCCTACCTGCACCACAGCCCGCTCACGACCTCGCCCGGCTGCTGATGGACAGCCGATCGCAGCCGCCGCCCCGCCCTCCCTCCGACAGACTATCTGAGCACAGACTGGGCTGGTATTGGCTGAGAGAGCTGTCAGTCTCACTGGCCGCTGCAGTACGTACATGCTTCCAGGGGCGGGGGGGGCGAGAAGCGTCACGGTGCCTGAGTCAAAACTCAAAAGACTGAAAGACAAAACTTTTTAACGTTCAGAAACCAGCCAACGCTTCTTCCACCTCAACACGAGATTTCTTCACACTGACCAAAAATGAACTTGGCTTTTAACGCTCGTTTCAGTGAAGGAGTTCAGACGGAGTGTTGGACTGAGACGTCCTCTTCCTCCACAACGACACGCACAGAGACACACTGACGCACACACACTGACACAGAGGGGCAGCAAACACTCTTTCTCTCTCTCTCTCTCTTTCTGACACACACACACACACACACACACACACACACATTCATGACTACCAAGTGAATAAGCTCAGTATGAAAGCAGGGTGTGTTGCTATGGAGACGACAGGTCTTTAGGAGAGGAGATGGACACAGGAAGGAAGGAGGAATTTTAAGCACCCGCTCCTTCCCCTCCTGAGGGTGTCCCTCCTGTCGCCGGACAAAAAGAGATGGATGGAAAAAACAGGGAAGGAGACGGTGATAGAAAGCAGGAGGCTCTTCAGTGACAGGTGCTCTGCCGGCAATCCGACCGGAGCTTCCTGTCTTTCATATGTCCTCTTCCTCTCCCCCCCGCCCGTCATCTCCCTTTCATCCTTTTATATTCCTGCCTCCTTTCCTCCACCTCTCCCTCTCATCCTCGCGGCCTCTCCCCCGCTCTTCATCGTCTTCACTGAAGAGGCTAAATAAATAAAACAAGATGCCAAATAAAGGCAGAGGGCCCTTGTAAATGGACTGGGAAACCCCTCCGCAGGCCCCTCTAGGAAACTCCCTTTTTCTACATCACATAAAAAATTGTTTTGAATGAAAGGGCTGAAAGAAAGAGGTTGTGGGAAGACGTGACGTTACTGAGACGTTCTCATTGATTTTCCTTTTTTTAGATCAGAGGGCGACTTTCCGAGCACATTGATCCTGGACGTCACTTAAAGGACAATGCTGGTGGCTTTGTATCTTTTAACTCATTATAAATCACCTATTTATTACTGGTCATCATTTTCCAAAACATACTGAACTTTAAAAGATTTCAGTTCCTCCAGCAACTTTATTTCTTGGATGCTTTGGAAAATGGTTTTGGATAATGGGCTAAAATGTGCACAACCAGCAACTGCTCCCTTAAGATGTTTGTGCCTTGTACATAAAGGTATTCTGTGGATTTAGGCGTCCCTCGATTTCCCCGGGACATTTATTTTTTAGATTGCTGAATGTTAGTCACAAAAATAATCTCAAGCATTTCAGCAGCGCAGTTCAGACTCTTATTCCACTACAGAGCAAAAGCTTCCCTCTTCATCTTCACACACACAGAATATACTGTAGATGCTAAATGAAAATCACGAGGATTCAACGGAAACGGCATTTGTGAAGAACTCAGGTTACTTTAAACACGTTACAAAAACAGTCCTGCAACCATTTTGGGTTCCTGATCATTAAAAACAGATACACTGACATTTTTAACTTGAGAAAATGGGATTGCAATACTTCAATACAGTTTCTCTTTTAATGCTTTAGTGCTTTTTTCATATGAAACAAGTTCAACAATGATTATAAGCTTTGACCTTTGAGGCTCTAACCCCATAACAGGAAACAATAAGCTTATTAATTGTGTATCTGTAAAACAAATAGACTGTGAACAAAGAAGAACACGTGTTTCCACTTCCTCCCACTATTCAGAAATGAAGCCAAAATATTCATCAGCTTGATGAGGACGACCTCAAATACTTTTTATTTTGGTCCACGTGTCGTCCTCTAAATAACCCTAACATGAAGGAGGCAGGGTTTATACTGCAACCAGCCAACAGGGGGCGATGTAGATATTTCGGCTTCACTTTTCCGGAGCTGTCACGTCGTCCATCTTTATAAAACAGTCTGTTCTCTCCATAGCACTCTGACAGCGGTGACGTTCCACGACGTCGTTCTTCAACATCAGGTCAAATCTTCACGATGCCACAGATTGAGACAATGTTTGTACTTCTTCTGCTTTTTCGAACCAGGCTAAGCTCTACACTCTGTACTAGACATCCAAAGGCACAAAGTCCAGGGTTACTTTTATACCCGAGTCCTGATGTATGCACAAAACACACACACGCACACACACACACACACACACACACACACACAAAAACACACATGAACACTCACACACACACAGACAAAAACACACACACACACACACACACACACACACACACACACACAAAAACAGGGTTTCAAAGAAAACAAACCTTTCCTTTCTGTTTTTGAAGATTGTCGGCACCTATCTCTGTAGCACTTTGATGTGATGCAATACTGTATTTATAATTTATGATTGATCTACACATCATGGTGATGTTAGACTGACTAGACTTTGCATAAAGACATTTTGTCCTCGAAGAGAGAAAGAAAGAGAAGAGAGCAGTGAAAAACGCAATACTTTGTACACATGCGTGTGGTCTGTACACGTCCGTCTGTCTGCCTCTCTGTGTTAGTCTCTCTGTCTGTTGACCCATCATGGCAATATCAATCCTCCGCTTGGACATTTATATATAAAAAAGAAATTTCCCTCAATTTTATTGTGGAATGAATGATCTGTGCATTTATTTATTACTGAAGATCCACTGTTGAATAAACAATGTTCTTAATTAAGTCATATGTGTTTTCTCTGTGTGGAAATGAGTAAATATACATACATAATATTACACCGTTTATATTATAAAGGAGCTATATTCATATGAACTTTAAGACAGTCAGTAATGAATCACCTCACCAAAGCAACCTTGCAGATGGCATTCTGGGGAATATAGGAATTTAGGAAAACAAAAGGAAAGATTTACCTTCACTTTTTACTTCACACGTTAACGTTCTCTTTTGTAAACTTAAATCACAATCTGTTCCTAAAACTACTTAATTATTTTTTACTCATCTAATCACAGATTGATGAAATAATAGTATTAGAGGTTTTTTTTAACTGAAGTCAAGTGTGTGGGCGCTCGTGTCCAGTCTAATGTAATTCAATATAATATCAGAAGGATAATCACTGCAGTTGCAAAAACTTGTGTTTCCTCATGGATTGGAAAACAGATTTTAGGTTTAATAAAGATAACAGCATATGAAGCATGATAGTATATATGTAGTTAAATAAAAAGTCTGTGAGCATTTCATGTGTTAATGAAAAAAGTTAAAAACAAATCCTTTCAAACTAAAGTCCTTTAAAATGTGATTAAAACATTTTTCAGGAAACTGTAATTTAAAATCATCTTTTGTGACAATAAGCTAGAGTAGGCTTGCAGCACCACCCAGTGGTAAGAACGTGTACTTGTTCTCAAGAGGTCGGTCATGTAAATTTATGAAGGATTAAAAACAGAGGGTCAATTCTTTCGTCCTGGACTGTAACAGAAATGTGAAGAATCTACATGACTAAAAAGAATAGAAAAGTGCTGTTTACTGTGTCATCCTAAAATATAAACTCTAGAGTAACAGGGTTATTTGTGTCTCAGGCAAGTGCATAAAGCACGTAGAGACTCGTGAGTGGTACCAATCAATCGGGAATACACAAATTAGTAGAGACGGAGCCCACTTTCAGATCGCTACGACCTTCAGAACAAACGTTATTCAAGCAGGGCTCACCTCAGTGTGGTAATCAACCTTTATCCCAAACCCGAACCCCTAGTTGCAATCCTAATTGCAACCCCAAATGCAACCCCAAC